CTCCATCTTGGTTGTCTAGTTTAACAGATACTTTGTCATACTCGCAAAGGCTCAATCCCACTCCCTCTTACTTCTGCAACATTTATACCAGATGCTTGCTTGACTAATAAAAGGCGGGAAGCCAGGAGAATACTGGCCCTAGCAACCCTTCGGCAGCCTCAGACTCCAGCCAAACTCCTTCCATACTAAGGGGGCTAGTTCCTGAAGCCAGTGCTTCCACTTCTACTTCCAAATGGAGTCAGTCAGTCATTCTTCACTGCAGAGTAAGCTCAGATGATTTGCACTTGGGGTTATCCTCCCCTTTGTCTGAGCAGCCACAAGGCAAAGCCCTATCAGAGTTACTTTGTCCTTGCTGCAAGTGTGAGTACCTCAAGGACTTCTGAGGACATATTCCATGTAGTACAGTGAGCTGAGTGCCTTAATTATTCTTTTCCAGTGAATTGTGGGATAATTTGCCCATCCTTCAGGGTGCACACAGGGAATTGTGGGATGGCAGTGGACGACTCATTGGCATTCAGATGGGCGAGCCTGAATCCTCACTGCAAAATGGTTACCAGCCAGAGTGAAAGCAGAAATCAGGCTCTAGCCCACTCCCCAGGCTATGCCAGCTAACCCAGTTTGCAAGCACAGGTAAATTCATGCGAGAGGATTTTGTTAGGGAAGGGCACTAGGGTAGTTAGGGCAACACTTAAGAGCCCAACACTATCTATGCATTTGGGTGGGGAGGCCATCCTGTTGCTGATGCCACAACACCTACACTTCTATTGGCAGGGCACTACTCAACCTGTGCTATCATGGACACGTCTATCTGAACTAGGAATGACACTTCCAGCTCCAGTGTATACTGACTTAAGTCAAGGCATCACACTTTTTACAGCCTAGGGCAGTCTCTCTTGCTTTATTTAGCAGGGGCTCCAGTCTCCTTTAAGTCCTTGTTTTGCTTGCTTTGCGGGCAGCGGCCTCTTCTGCACAAGTTCCTGAATCCCATTGGCAGAGCCTTCTATTTCCCTCCCATTTCCTTTGATCAGCTTCTCCCATTCTCTTTGGCCAATTTCTCTTGGACTCCGGCCCCTATTGTCTTTCTATCCTTTTACCTGCTTTTTTCTCTCTGAGATTTGGGGATTCAGCCTCTAGGGATCATGTATCTTTAGGTCTCTCATGAACAGTAAACACATCAGAGAACAGAGGAAGCTGCTATATTAATGCATTTCCTCTACTCAGGTTTTAATCAAGGAGTCATCTGTTGTGAATAAGATCAGTTCCACTCAGAGTAATCTCTTGCAAAAACCTAGTATTGATTTTTTTTCATCTTTGCTAAGAGTAGCTTCCCACGCATCTGTTCAGGATGCAAGGGTGAACTTACTCATCATCATATGAGCTCAGAATATGACTCACTCTTCTGAATCTTTCGTTTCATCAAGGGTAGCAGAGTGTCGCCAGGCAGCTCACTGAGTTACTCTTCCGACAGAAAATGGAGCTTAAAATATGTGCATGTAAACAGACTTGTGCAATGCTTTTCTGAGTGGCATGCTTAGCTGCTCCCTCTGTGGGAGCTAGTTAATGAGGAGGGAAAACATGATTCTCCATAAATGCTGCTTTGTATAATTCAGAGATTTTTAATCTCTTTAATTTTTAAAACAAAAGACAGGACTATGTAGCACTTTAAAGACTAACAAGATGGTTTATTAGGTGATGAGCTTTCGTGGGCCAGACCCACTTCCTCAGATCAAATTGTGGAAGAAAATTGTCTCAACCATATATACCAAAGGATACAATTTAAAAAAATGAACACACATGAAAAGGACAAATCACATTTCAGAAGAGAAGGGGAATGGGGGGGAGGTAAATGTCTGTGAGCTAATGAAATTAGAGGTGATAATTGGGGAAGCTATCTTTGTAATGGGTAAGGTAATTAGTCTTTATTCAAACTTAAGTGTAAAGTGTCGAATTTGAGCATGAATGACAGTTCAGAGGATTCTCTTTCAAGTGTATTCTTAAAAGGCCTTTGAAGCAGGATGCAGGTAATCAAGTCAGTGAGACAGTGTCCTTTCTGGCTGAAATGGCAAGAAACTGTTTTTTCTTTGTGATCCTGTCTAATATTTGTTTTGTGGGCATTGATCCTTTGGCGAAGTGTCTGAGACATTTGTCCAATGTACATAGCAGATGGACACTTTCGGCACATAACATAAATTATATTTCTGGATGCGCAGGAATATAAGATCAAGAACACATAACTCACTTGGTTAGGTCCAATAATAGTATCGGCAGAGTGAATATGTGAACAAAGCTGGCAACGGGGTTTCTTGCGAGGGAAGGTACCAGGGTTGGTATTAGTGTGGTAATGCCAATTATCACCTCTAATATCATTAGCTCACATACATTTACCTCCCCCCATCTCCCTTCTGTTCTGAAATTTGATTTGTTCTTTTCATATGTGTTCATTTTTAATTGTATCCTTTGGTATATATGGTTGTGACAATGTTCTTCCACAATTTGATCTGAGGAAGTGGGTCTGGCCCACGAAAGCGCATCACCTAATAAGCCATCTTGTTAGTCTTTAACATGCTACATAGTCCTGTTTTATGTTTCAGCTACACCAGACTAACACAGCTACATTTCTATCACTTTAATTTTTAAATCACAGTCCTGCAGGACAATGGCACCAAGAGCAGAAATCCCACTTCGTACCATTAAAAAATGGAACGGAACGAAACTCAGGTTCACTAAAAATATTTCTGTAACAGTCATTTCAGAGATCCTTAGGCTAGTTTCAGCTGTAGCTTCTGCAAGAATACTCCATAATCTCCTTCCTGTGGTACTTTTCATTAATCAACAGAGGTTTTAATTCAGAAAAAGACAGCAGCCACGTGGCTAACTCAGCTGAAGAACTTACAACTGCTGCTTCTTGTTGTCCTGTAAACCAGTGATTTGGGGTGCCTTTGTTTTTGGGTTTCAACTTGAGATGCCTTATAGGGAGCCTGATATTTCAGTGGGCAGGAGCACTGCACCCCCTGAAAAATCAAGCTGCTTTAAAACATCTCACAGTGGACCCTCAAAATCACTTGCGACTTCTGAAAATGTAAGTATTCCTGTGCTCGGATGTTTTCTACATTCAGAGAATAAAACTTGGTTACTTTGATGTTAGTTGAAAGAAAACAACAAAAAAAGGGCAAACACGTGTTCAGGTAGAGATGACACAATGTTTTGCTCTCTTTAATATCTTCCACATTGCATGTCCCCTCATCCTGTCAGCTTGTGTGCAAGCAGGATAAAATAGAATTGCGGCTACCTACACAACATATGCAAAATACTGTAACAATGCTAACTTCAAATCTTTCGTCCATCTTATTTGTAGATGGTTACTTACCATGAGCTGAAGGGTTCGTTCTTTGTGCTCTGAAATTGTTCCAGTCTCTCTTTCCAGATTTGGAAACCTCTTTGTCTCACTGGAGCGATGCATTATGGGAACAGATGGGGTTTTAATGCCGACCTTATGGTACAGGATCAGAGCTCTGCCTCATTCCAACTTGAGGCTTTGTGCATATTTTCATGCCTGCCAAAGATATCTGGGTTCCCACTAAATAGAAATGTCTTTAACAAGTAAAATAGGTGTCAACGTCCTTTACCAAGTCACAAAATGTTCATTAGGGAAGCAGGTCAGCTAATCTTTCAGATAATTATTGACATCCTTCCAGAAGTCTTTCCTAATTTTGGAGTCTTCTGGAGCGGTATCATTGCTATTTGCAAAGTAATCTAAACAGGGATAATATTTCAAAAGAACCCTGGAAAACAATGAAGTTATGCATGCTGATTTTTTAACATTTTTATTATAAGTTTTCAGTGCTTAAATAAATATATACATACTGTTCCATTAGAAAATAGTGAAGCTGAATGCAGGGTAAGTTGAACAAACAAATCTATATTAACTCCTGTCCACCAAAGGAATCTCTGGGCTAAAACATCTTGGGATTCCACAGAGAATCTGATTCTTGTGCTCTGTTTCACTCCTATTCCTGCACCAAAGCCATATGAATGAGCTTTGTTGCAGGGAAATCAAGTGCGTACTATAGATTGGAAAGACAGAATCCATCTGTAGATACAGGAGCAAGCTGGTGCTCTATGGTACAGTCCCTCCCAGGCCCAGGGAGAAGGGAGCAACTGCCCCAGGACTCAGTGATTCAAAGGGGCCTGGGGCTCCTGGGTACCACCACTGCTACTGGGACCTTTAAATTGCCTCCAGAGTGCGATGCGGCGTGCTCCACAGCCCTGGACAGCACGCTCCAGGTGGCACTGTAGGCTGAGGGAGGGTGCGATGTTTTGAGGGCTGAGGGGTGGTACAGTACACTCCAGGTGAAGCTGAGGCCCTCCCCATTTCGGGAGCATGGAGCTGGCCCCCACACCTTGCCTGGGAGCCTGGTAAGTCTGTTGGCTCCTCTGCTCCCTCTACACATGCTGCTGTGGACTGGAATAGCAGTGTCTGCTCTCCCCACCCCATACGCTGGATCCAAAGGCCCCTCTGCTTGTGCCCACCAATACTTTGCTCCATGCTGTCCTCTTTCATGTGACATGCAGGTTCCCTCTCTGCCTGACCACGCTGCAGGACATTGGCCCTTCTGCCAATGCATCAATGTCACCACCGCCTCTCTCTCATTCCTCCTGGACCTATGGTAACCCTAATGGAGTGATGTAAACTGCACTAAGATGGCCAAGGATAAGCAGGGGCCGGGGAAGGGGAGGCGGTTAGATATTTGTGTATATTAATTGCCCTGCCTCCTCTTAATGCTATGTTGTTTGCATTCCTGGTTTAGTCAATTACATTATACAATCAAATAAAGTATATACAGTAGTGAGGGGCAGATTTGAAAACGATTCTACAAACGTTTCTGTGTCTATTTAATGCCCTTAAAGGACCAACATTACCCAGTTATGAATCCTTTCATGTTTTTCAAGATGTTCTTTTCAATAGCTGTAATTTCTTTTGCTCTCCATTTCCACTCTAGTACATGGGCTGTATTGAAGTGTTGCAGTCAATGAGGTCTCTGGACTTTGGCACCAGGACACAAGTCACCAGGTAAGCGGTGGGTGACTGATATCCAGCTTAATACAAAGCCTGGAAGTTAATTTCTATATGAAGCCGTAGATGTGGATTAACTTTTCAGTTTCCTGTGTGTGTTTTTAGTGGTGATCTAAAATATTGATGATTGCAATATGCCCTATCTGTCCTGAAAAATAAGCTGTGTTCACTGCCAACACTACACAGGACCCCCATCCTGAGGTCTCTTCTCTTCCACTCTTTGTTTTGGACACAGACAGGAACACAATATATTCAATGCCTGATGTGGAATGCGAGATTGGTGTAGGTGCCCACTACACCACCTACTTCCCAGGGGAATTCCCAACGGTGTCTTTCTGTTCTGCAGTGGTTTTGAAGATTTCAGAGAAGGGAAGGAAAAGTTTTAAGCTTCCAGGAGAGTATTATAAACAAGATTAAGTCAAGGGGATGTGAAAAATTACAAAAGTGGTTTGAAATGGGCCAATATAACTAATATTTGAAGTTGCCGAAGAGGATATTGATTCCCTTGATAAGATGCGGCAGAGCTTTGCCATGAGGCTTTTATGGGAAGCTGAATGTCGGAAGCAAACCTCTACCTTTGAAAACGAAATTGTTCAAAGTTTGTCTTTAAAGTTCCTGTGTAATATCTTTTAATGCAGCCATGATTTTTGTATATTTGAAATTAGCTGTTTGCACTTATAATCAACTCATGCACACAGATTTAAATTAGAAGCTGTTTGCACTTATAATCAACTCATGCACACAGCCATCCCAGATCCTGGCTTTGTATATATTTAAAAAAAAAAAAGCTATTGTGCTGTTAGAAGCTATTATGCCTCTTCCCGGCCTCTCTGCCCCCAGCTCAACCCTCCTCCATCTCTGCCAGCAGGTTAGTGTGTGTGGGGGGGACCTGCTCCAAACTGGAGGGGGTGGGGGAAGATGCGGTACAAGCTCCCTCTCCTCCTTGCAGGGTCGGGCTCAGTCGTGCACCAGATTTGGGGCCCTGCTGCACAGTGTTGGTGGGGTGTTTGTGCAATTCCTTAGCAGTGTTCCTTCTATTGTTTTCCATTCATGGGAAAAATTAGTTTTGTTATGGGCACCCAGGCACATGTAGATGTGCACCACCAGTAGAAACACATGCGGGTGTCTGTGAGCACTCGATTAATCAACGGGGTAGCATTTGAATCTCTTCCGGATGGCTGCCCAAGTGCACAGCTTACAGGGAACCCTGAGCTAATCATTCACAGATCAAAGAAGTAGGTGAAGTTCCATTGGCTCATGGAAGTCAGCAGTTAACACCCAGACCAACAAATTGTTATCTTTGGTAGCTCTAGAGGCTAAAAAGTGAAGTTATCTCACAACTTTGCATGCCACGGAGTATGTTATTACACTTACAAAATAGAGCTCTCAATGGATTGTTTGGAAAATAACAAACAAGTAATTGTTTAAAGGAAATTCTCCAAGTCCAATTTGGCCCAAACTTTAGGTTTTGCAAACATGAACAATATTAAAACTTAACAATAGAAATGTTTCCATTACTTAAAAAAATTCCAGTGAGAGTTTGCAGCCCCTTGTAGTACGTGTGACAGCAAAGTGCAAACCTAAAACACATCTACAACTCTGATGCTGGGCTAGCACAGCAGAATTTGAAGTTCTATAAATGAGCAATTGACTAGAAGCAAAAGCAAAATTGATTAGCCTATTCTTCTTCTCCTAGCTGAGAAACTAGTATAAATACTCTGAAAGAATACTGACTATTTTAAATGTATTCAGTTTGATAATCTAAGGTATCTGCAACTTGGGAAAACAGTTTTTTTGTTTGTTTGTTTGTTTGTTTGTTTGTTTGTTTGTTTTTAGGTTTTTTACTTTGATAGCATGTCTTTTAAAAAAAAAAGGGACATTTTTTTTTCAATACTGGGCCCAAGTAGCCACAGAATGTGTGTCTAAAGCTTTATCGACAGGACAAGCTGGGTGAGAGTCCCTGCTCATCTACACATACTCTAACTGCCTAGTGCAAATATAAATAGCAGTGTATCTGCGGTAGCACAAAGAACATCAGGGGAGGCACAGCTGAGTACGTACCCAACGTTGTGTGTAACCTGTTATGCTTCCTTTTTTCCTGCACAACAGCTTACCTCTTTGCTGAAACGTAGGCTAAAGCACTGTCCTTTTAGAAACTCTCAGAGGGTAGCCAATTTAGTCTGTAACTGTAAAAACAACGAGTAGTCCTGCAGCACCTCAGAGACTAAAACAAATACAGATTCATGAGCTTTCATAGTAAGCTAACCCACTTCACCTTATACCATATATTATTGTTAGTCTCTGAGGTGCCACAGGACTACTTTTTGTTTTGAGAAAGTATTACACAGATTTAAACCTCAGGGCTATGGTATGTAAAGACCTGCAGGTAAGTGTTAACAGATTCAAGACAGTCTGAGAGAGGGAGCCATATAGTTTCTTTACAATCAGCTATTTAATATAGTGGAAGCCTGGTGGGATGGGGAGGATGGGGAAACCAGGAAGCCCAGTGGGGTGGGGAGGGTGGGTCCGGCAGCAGGGGAACAGTGGCAGAGGGAGGGAAGGAGGTTGGCCGTAGGTGCCATGCTGAGTGGGGGCACCAATTTAATTCTCCTCCACTCCCCCTGTCATCCCTCGGCTCACCTGCTGCTCCTCTGCCCACCCCCGGTGGCTGGAGCCTCTTCCCGGCCTCTCTGCTCCCAGCCCAACCCTCCTCCATCTCCACCGTTGGGTTAGTGTGTGTGGGGGCCCGGTCCCAAACTGGAAGGGGTGGGGGAAGACGCGGTACAAGTTCCCTCCCCTCCTCGCAGGGTTGTGCTCAGTTGTGCGCCAGATTTGGGGCCCCGCCGCGGAGCATCGGTGGAGTGTGCATGCAAATTTTGCCTTTGCCCCTGGGTGCATAACACCCTCGCTATGCCTCTGTCAGAGGGCCAGAAATTATTTACCCTCATTCGGCAAAATCTCTCATCTAGGACCAGTAAGGTCCTGAGGGTGACGGACCAGGGAGATCCATTCTACACCAAACCTACTATTTCTTCTCCAGACTTTCCCACTTTACTTCTGTTACATAAATTTACAAGGCAGGTTTCACCATAACATCTGTACTTCTTTACATAAACACCCAGAGAATCACCTTCCCAGATGATCTCCTGTCAGAGATGTTTTCTCAGTTTCTTATAATATGGCCTTATTAAGTTGTCACTTGAAAACTTCAGAGCTCAAGAAGAATGGCAGCATTTCAGTTCTTTTGCAAATACTTCTTCAGAGGCTTTCACCAAAGAAAAACCTGGGGTGCTTTACAGCTAGCATGGGGATAACAAGATGATTAGTGTCCTCAGTTGCTGTAAGATAGAAACCATAGTCTGTATCCAGAGAGGTATTGTACTGGGGCTTTTTGCCCTCACAACAGGCAAATCTCACAGCTAAATCCACAGCACTGTCTTAACTTCTGTATTTATAAACCTTTCCCCAGCGAGCTCAGATTGGCTCACTGGTTAGTGAATTTGTGGAAGCCACAAGACTCCTTGTTTGTAGTGAAAATTCTTGGCACAGCTCCAGAAACAGATGCAGAACATGCCCAAGAACTGCCACCCCCTACCTCAGGATGTGTCTGGACTCTTCTAGTCAAGTTGCTCTGCTTTACAGACACAGAACATTGATCTAAACTCCATGTCTCCTCTCCACTACTTCAGTCCCTTTCTTTGGACTTGCCTCCCTCTCCAAACAAATGCTGTATAAAATATGTAGGCTACAGTTACAGGCATGGAACAGGAATTGTCTTTATACTGCACGGGTAATTCCATTTGTGCTGATCAATAATAATGAACGTACCCAATGGTGACACTAGATCAGGGTTTCCCAACCTATGGGTTGGGACCCAAATATGGGTTGCCATTACATTTCAAAAGGGTGGCCAAGCGTCTCCCCAAGTGGCTTTGTCCCTCTTCTCCCCCTGTTTTTGAATCAAAATGGATCCCCATCTGGAAAAGGTTGGGAACCGCTGCACTAGATGCTATAGAGTTTTTACGTACGTGTGCTGTAGAGTGTCATTCCCTGCAGATTTCCCCTGGACAAAGCCTATTTACTCAGACTTTGTGCAGGAAAAGGGATTTGATGCTAGACACTTTCGAATGGCTTTTGTTTATATCCCTCACAGTCAGATCAAGGCAAGATCCTAGGATCAGAGGCAACAAGTCAGACAACGGCAAGCAAGCTAAGTAGTTGTGCAGCTCACAGCTGAGCAGTGTTAGTGTACTCACTGCTGAGGCTGGCTAGACTGCCTTTGATGGCAGAAGGTGCAAGGAAACTATAATAGGAGGAGGACAAAGATTTTTCCTGGGTAGCTGGCAGGGTCAGTCTGTTTGTGGACAGGTGGCAATGGATCAAGGAAGAAAAGAGTGAAGGTGAAACCCTCACTCCTGATCAGGCCCTTTGTGCCCCATAAAAGAGCCAGAATGGTATGTAGGGACCCTCATCTTGCTATACCTGACTGAGGGGAGATTCCCCCAGTCCAGGAACTGCAGAGACAGTTTACAGCCCTGGCATGGAGTGTGAGGCTGAGGGCAAGAGAGATGTGTCCAGGCTGTGGCTGTAGTATCTAATGTTAGGAAGGCAACTGTAACTCGGAGAGGTCCCCACGGCTTGATTAAGTTATGGCAGGAATCTCTCCAGTGCCAAGAGCAGACCAGGATCAGGATCATGCTGAGGGGTCTTAAAGCCACCTTCTCCTTTCCTACCCCTGGTCTGAGAGCTCTGTGCAGGAGTCTCTTAGAGCAGTGTTTCTGAAGGTCTACCATGGAAACACTTTAATTGGCCGCCCGGTTTGTTTATGTACCAGCACCATGGCAATGGAGCCTCACGGCTCCCATTGGCTTGGTTTCAACCTTTGCAGCCAAGGTGAGCCATGGGAAGTGGTGGCCTGGCCCACACCACTTCCCGCAGCTCCCCTTGGCTCCAAAGGACTAAACGGAGCCAATGGGAGCCACGAGGCTCTGTGGCCC